TATCTTGTGTGTCTTCAATAAAGGTCACTGTAATATCTTTCAGAGTTATTGTCTGAATCCCGATATACATGCTGAAAGGTACAACTTCCTTAAGTTTTGTCCATGAGTGTATATTGGTTATCTTGTGTGTCTTCAATAAAGGTCACTGTAATATCTTTCAGAGGTATTGTCTAAATCCCGATATACATGCTGAAAGGTACAACTTCCTTAAGTTTTGTCCATGAGTGTATATTGGTTATCTTGTGTGTCTTCAATAAAGGTCACTGTAATATCTTTCAGAGTTATTGTCTGAATCCCGATATACATGCTGAAAGGTACAACTTTCTTAAGTTTTGTCCATGAGTGTATATTGGTTATCTTGTTTGTCTTCAATAAAGGTCACTGTAATATCTTTCAGAGTTATTGTCTGAATCCCGATATACATGCTGAAAGGTACAACTTCCTTAAGTTTTGTCCATGAGTGTATATTGGTTATCTCGTGTGTCTTCAATAAAGGTCACTGTAATATCTTACAGAGTTATTGTCTGAATCCCGATATACATGCTGAAAGGTACAACTTCCTTAAGTTTTGTCCATGAGTGTATATTGGTTATCTCGTGTGTCTTCAATAAAGGTCACTGTAATATCTTTCAGAGTTATTGTCTGAATACCGATATACATGCTGAAAGGTACAACTTCCTTAAGTTTTGTCCATGAGTGTATATTGGTTATCTTGTGTGTCTTCAATAAAGGTCACTGTAATATCTTTCAGAGTTATTGTCTGAATCCCGATATACATGCTGAAAGGTACAACTTCCTTAAGTTTTGTCCATGAGTGTATATTGGTTATCTTGTGTGTCTTCAATAAAGGTCACTGTAATATCTTTCAGAGTTATTGTCTGAATCCCGATATACATGCTGAAAGGTACAACTTCCTTAAGTTTTGTCCATGAGTGTATATTGGTTATCTTGTGTGTCTTCAATAAAGGTCACTGTAATATCTTTCAGAGTTATTGTCTGAATCCCGATATACATGCTGAAAGGTACAACTTCCTTAAGTTTTGTCCATGAGTGTATATTGGTTATCTTGTGTGTCTTCAATAAAGGTCACTGTAATATCTTTCAGAGTTATTGTCTGAATCCCGATATACATGCTGAAAGGTACAACTTCCTTAAGTTTTGTCCATGAGTGTATATTGGTTATCTTGTGTGTCTTCAATAAAGGTCACTGTAATATCTTCCAGAGTTATTGTCTGAATCCCGATATACATGCTAAAAGGTACAACTTCCTTAAGTTCTGTCCATGAGTGTATCTTTCAGAGTTAGTGCCTTCTTCTTCTTCCTTCTTATCTCCACTCAATCATATTAGGGTATCAAGTTGTGACCCTTGATGGTGTCTGTTTGAAAACCATCATGACTGAGTTATTGTCTCAATCCCGATATACATGCTGAAACCTTCTTAAGTTTTATCTATGAGTGTATACCTCCCACAGACCATATTTCAACCATTCAGCTGGCCAAAAACAGGATGGAAATTCATAAAGAGAAAGATGACAAAGACATCTGTAGTGTTTTGATTCCAAATTACCAGTGGATATGTAAAATACACATGTTTGTTAAAATATCCATCCAGTATCTACAGTAGGATCTAATGGCAAGGTGTTGCGCAGTCCACATGGGTCTTCTCGCGCCGCCACCCCATGAACCCCAGCGACCCCAACAACAACTACTACGCCCCCATGAACAGGTTCAACTTTGTCTATGAGGTTGAGCAGTGGGGGGAGAAGAGCAGCGCAGCGGAACATGAGATCAACTTGATACTCACCACCTACATCAAAGGTGAGCAAGGGGAGAATATGCAAATTGGATGCTCCTAATACCTTCTGTCCTGGTCTTGGGGAGAATATGCAAATTGAAGGCTCCTAATACCTCCTGTCCTGGTCTTGGGGAGAATATGCAAATTGGATGCTCCTAATACCTCTTGTCCTGGTTTTTGGGGAGAATATGCAAATTGAATGCTCCTAATACCTCCTGTCCTGGTCTTGGTGAAAATATGCAAATTGAATGCTCCTAATACCTCCTGTTCTGGTCTTAGGGAGAATATGCAATTTGAATGCTCTTAATACCTCCTGTCCTGGTCTTAGGGAGAATATGCAAATTGAATGCTCCTAATACCTCCTGTCCTGGTCTTAGGGAGAATATGTTGTTGTTGTTTCTTATCCCCTTGTGTAAAGATTACACGAATTCCATGAGTTCATGCTCCTCGAGCTAGGGAGAATATACAAATTGAATGCTCCTAATACCTACTGTCCTGGTCTTGTGGAGAATATGCAAATTGAATGCTCCTAATACCTCTTGTCCTGGTCTTGGGAAGAAAATGCAATTTGGATGCTCCTAAATACCTCTTGTCCTGGTCTTGGGGAGAATATGCAAATTGAATGCTTCTAATACCTCCTGTCCTGGTCTTGGGGAGAATATGCAAATTGGATGCTCCTAATACCTCTTGTCCTGGTCTTAGGGAGAATATGCAAATTGAATGCTCCTAATACCTCTTGTCCTGGTCTTGGGGAGAATATGCAAATTGGATGCTCCTAATACCTCTTGTCCTGGTCTTGAGGAGAATATGCAAATTGAATGCTCTAATACCTCCTGTCCTGGTCTTAGGGAGAATATGCAAATTGGATGCTCCTAATACCTCCTGTCCTGGTCTTGGGGAGAATATGCAAATTGAATTCTCCTAATACCTCCTGTCCTGGTCTTGGGGAGAATATGCAAATTGGATGCTCCTAATACCTCCTGTCCTGGTCTTGGGGAGAATATGCAAATTGAATGCTCCTAATACCTCCTGTCCTGGTCTTGGGGAGAATATACAAATTGATGCTCCTAATACCTCTTGTCCTGGTCTTGGGGAGAATATGCAAATTGGATGCTCCTAATACCTCCTGTCCTGGTCTTGGGGAGAATATGCAAATTGAATGCTCCTAATACCTCCTGTCCTGGTCTTGGGGAGAATGAACTAACTTGGCAAAATTGTCAAAAGAAATGTCTTTTTTGAGATAATCTTAAAAAGCACAATACCTCCCACAGACCCAATTACAACCATGAAACACAAGGTAATAAAACCAAATCCAAATAAAAAAAATAGTGTGTGACTTTTCGGCAACAGCATTGTTACCATCATCAGCCAAAATTACGGAAACTCACTTACTGAACCTCATTCAGTACTTTTTTTCTGATGATGGTACACATTTTTACTGAAACGTCGATTTATTAGGATTTGGTGTTATTACCTCGTGTTTGTAATCTATAATCCAAATTGTGCCGTATCACAACCCTGCAGCTGCCAAAGTTCAGGTTGACAAAGTATAAAGAAAAATATGGCAAAGACAATCTGTAGTGCTTTGGATTACCAGTGAAATATGGAAACTGTTGACAACAACTAAATGAAGTTATAGGTCCACAGTTTCTCTAATCCCACAACGTGTGTGTCCCCAGGTCTGGGAGATGTCGGGGACCTGGTGGCCGTCAAGGCAGACATTGCCCGCAAGTCCCTGCTCCTCACCAAGAAGGCTGTCTATGCCTCCCCAGAGAACCTGGCCTACTATGAGAAGATGAAGAAAGTGAGTGAGAGCCCCTGTTCCCCACCAATCAGCTCCTAACATCTATTTGTGTGACTTCAGGACAAGAGCAAAGAGCGGGCCTACAGCTCTCCCTTCGTGTCTCAGGTAACATTGTGTTCCTCCCTGCTGGGAGTTCTTTAACTTTCTATCTACTGACATCTGGCAGTGTAAGACTGGAAACATGTTCCACTGATGTCCGGTGATATAGGACTGTTGCAACCCTGGATCAATGTCTGGTGGTATAGGGTGCGAAGCTTGTTGCAACCCTGGACTGGCAGTATAGGATCCGATGCCTGTTGCAACCCTGGACTGGCAGTATAGCATCTGATGCCTGTTGCAACCCTGGACTGGCAGTATAGGATCCGATGCCTGTTGCAACCCTGGACTGGCAGTATAGCATCTGATGCCTGTTGCAACCCTGGACTGGCAGTATAGGATCCGATGCCTGTTGCAACCCTGGACTGGCAGTATAGCATCTGATGCCTGTTGCAACCCTGGACTGGCAGTATAGGATCCGATGCCTGTTGCAACCCTGGACTGGCAGTATAGCATCTGATGCCTGTTGCAACCCTGGACTGGCATCTTCCACTTACAGATGTGAATAAAGTTGGGAAAAAGGACAATCAGAAACCATGGTACAAGCCCACATGATACAGAGTGTTGACACAGCCTTTTCTTTCAGCTGAATTGATATTGTTTTATTCCTCTATAATATCACTGTTTCAATCACACTCTGAAACCTCTATGGTCAAGATAGGAACAAAAATATTGTCACTAATTTGTTATTCACTAATATAATTGCGCTCTGCCTTCTTTAAAGCACATGTGCTCCTGGTCAGGATATGCCATTTTTATTTTTAATATATATATCTATAAAGCATTTCAAGTTTATAATAATCTACTCAGACAAATATTTTAAACTTAAATGAAACCAGGTATATTCCTAGAATCCTAAATATGTAATGAAAGACTGACCTACTTAGGACACATAATAAGAACAAATGGTATAGAAAAGATGTTGATGTTGGGAAAAAATGAAGGAAGAGAGGAAGACCTGCAATGAGCTGGCTGGAAGAGGTCAAGGCAGCTACTGGAAGGTCATGAGCTGTGAGTGACGGTCACTAATATTTGTCCATTGTGTCATCAAAAGTCGAACTCGACTCGATGAAGGCTAACAACAACAAAGTTTGATTATAAAGCAATACTTAAAGTTTAACCGCATAAGTTTCTTTTATTTGTGAAAAATCAATTTTAATTTCAAAGAGAAATATCTAATATTTCTAACTTTTTGGATGACGTATGAAAAGGTTGAATATATGAAGAGTGATGGTCTATATATGATTGGATGACGTATGGAAAGGTGAAAATATGAAGAGTAATGGCGAACGGAAAAATAAAAGTGTCCAGGGGCGGGAATCGAACCCACAACCTTCTGCTTACCGGGCAGGTGCCATGTCCACTAGACTACCCTGGACGTATTTCTCCGTTCGTAACTAGAAATATTAGATATTTCTCTTTGAAATTAAAATTGATTTTTCACAAATAAAAGAAACTTATGCGGTTAAACTTTAAGTATTGCTTTATTATCATACGCCGCAGTCATTTATAATGTATTAAAAGTTTGATAAGTTACAATTTGGATTATAGATAATACAAGTTAATAAGACCAAATTCAAATAAATAAATAGAGTGTGACATTTAGGTAACAATGCTGTTACCGAAACGTCACACACTATTAATTTATTTGGATTAGATCTTATTTTTTTATAGCTATAATCTATAATCCGAATTGTACTTTATCAAAGTTTATAACAAAGAAAAAAAAGTTATAAAATATTTTAAAGTGTCATTAGTCCGACTTCCAAGTCGTTCCGCCAAGAGATCAACACCATAGAGGTCCGTACGTCTCTTGACCTCACGGACAATACAGCAGCTACATCGCATGACTGTCCGCTGTACAAATTCAATGGAGGAATCTCCAATCTCCACTTTGTCACCCCGGAAGCCCTGAACTGGCTGAAGGCCTTGCCTCTCAGACTTTAATGACCGAGAAGCCCTCACTTCTTTTTTCTAGATTTAATTCATTTTGTCTCCTCTCTAATTATAAAGATGTTGCTGTATCACCTCATAAGCATAAATAAATAAAGTGTCATTCAAATGTTTTCCCTATATAAGTCAGTAAATGGGATGATATAGCTACAGTAACGACAGCTTTGTTGTGTGTCAGACCATCACAGACCTCACTACCACCTTCTTCCCTCTGATGCTGAACAACGCCCAGCCCTGGACAGTAGAACCCTGGCATGTCAAACTTGCCCTGGAGCACAAGGTAACAAATCACTACTCCTTGTTAAATAAGGCAACAGATCTCTGGAGATGTTTCTTTTCATTTTTATTGTAATCTCAAGTTTTTCAGGCATTACCGGCCTTTTTACAGGAGTACAATTGTTCATAAGTCAGACTTTCACCAAAGTGTGCCATGGTGCCATGATCAATGAAAGCTGCACCCCTATATCACATTCCATGAGATCAAGCTCAAGGAGCATGAACTCATAGAATTTGTGTAATCTTTACACAAAATTGTTCATTTTTGTACTCCTGTGTTGTTTTTGCTTATTCCTTAAGTCATTTATACTATTTCCATTAGGTCAATGGGAACTAATGGAGATTGTTTAAAGGACTTGAGGAATAAGCAACAACAATAACACAGAAGTACAACAATAATGAAATGCTCTTACAGTATTTAACAATGTTTCATCATTGTTCATTTATGTACTCCTGTAGGAGGACTGTAAAATGTCCGAAAGCTTGAGATTACAATAAAAATTCAAAGAAACACATCTCCAAGAAGGTCACCTCTCCCATCAAAATAGACTTCAAAAGCTTGACGCCATTTATTGACCGTCACTGCAAACTAGCGGCCTCTGGTCGGTGACAAAGCCACAACACCAACTTTGGCAAACTGAAAAGCGTCCACCTAGAGACCATGGTTTCGGGCTAATCTATATTTTAGCCATAGATTTGGCCCAGCCACTTTGCCAGCTAAACACCTCTTTGGCAGATTGTGAAGATACCATTAGATCCTGTGTGGATCTCATGGAATAAAGTCCGCCCTAGACTGACGAGGGCCATTAGCCTGAAACCATGGTCTCTAGGTGGACGTTTTTCAGTTTGTCAAAGCTGGTGTTGTGGCTTTGTCACCGACCAGAGGCCACTAGTTTGTGGTGACGGTCAATAGATGGCGTCAGCTTTTGAAGTCTACTCTATATGTTTACATTGACTGTTATCATTGACTTTATTGACTCATCCATTGATGAGCTCTACTCATCCCCAGCAGACACCATCAACAAACTCTACAGGCTGTAGATTTTTGAATAATTTGTGATTTCTCTGTGGTCACATCCCTATTATATGTAACTAATAGAAAAATTGCCATTTTGACAGGTTGAATTTACACTCATGGACAAAACTTAAGGAAGTTGCACCTTTTAGAATGTATATCGGGATTCAGACAATAACTCTGAAAGATATTACAGTGACCTTTATTAGAGACACATGATATGAACAAATTGTTTCTGTCTCCTTCCAAAAAAAAAAAAACCTACCGGCCACATCAAATACAGTGGTACCTCGACATACGAATTTAATTCGTTCCGCAACCTTGCTCGTATCTTGAATTACTCGTATCTCGAAGCAAATTTCCCCATACAAAACAATTGAACTACCATTAATCCGTTCCAACCTCCAAAATGTCACCCCAGTTATTTTTGTTACGTGGTTTTAAATAATAAAAAGTATTTATAAATATCAAATATTTATTGCACAAAACAAAAAAGAGAATGTAAAGAAATAAATTAGATATCCTCACTGGTCTTTGCCTTTTCCGCTACATTTTTCTCGCTTTCACCTGTAGGCCGTTTAGAAAAAAAAACATGTCCAAGGAGGTTTGTTTCTTCCTCCCTCTCAGAATGTTCTCAGAATCCTCAGCTGCCTTCATATCTGAACTTGCTGCCTCACCATGTCTGACAACGGAGTGAATACCGCTCCTCTTTTAAAATTCTCAAACCAGCCCCGGCTGGCTTTAAATGACTCTTCCGATGCCTCGTCGATGGAAGTCTGCGGGGTTTGCTTCAGCAAATCTCCGTAGATCGCTCTTGCCTTCTCACAAATGATGGTCTGCGTCAAGGTATCTCCTTGGAGCTGCTTTTCTGTCACCCACACCATCAGCAGTTTCTCCATATTTTCTTTAAGGGAGGTTCGCAGCTTGGAAATTATCGTAAAGCCCTTAGCCGGCGTTGCACTCTTTATCGACTCCTTCCGTTTAAGCACAGAACATATCATGGACGTACTACGGCCATACTGCCTCGACAAGTCAAGAACTCGAACACCTTGCTCATGTTTTTCTATAATTTCACGTTTTAATTCAATACTCATCATCTTTTTCTTAGCACTTGACTTTTTACAAACTTTCTTCCGATCCATGGTTATAAAAATAAATGAACTAAAACTGTAAATGTAAACGCAACACAAAACACAACTTATCACAACGGAAGCACGCTGCTGCTAACTGATCGTGATGGCGCGACTGCGTGTTACTACCTGTTGTGTTTCAACTTTAAAAGCATTCAAAAATATAATTAACTTGAATTTGTTTATTCAAGTCTCAAAAAACAAAGCTTTGCATATAGAACAAATAATAATGAAGAAGAAGAAAGAAACATTTTAGGAAAAGCAAAAACAAAACAAAAGTACTGGTCAAAAAGAAACATTTAAAATCACAGATTAATATCTTCAACACTACCGAACCGTATCTCAAATTTCGCTCGTAACTAAAAGCAAAAAATCACTTGCTCGTCGGCTCGTAGCTCGAAAAACTCGTATGTTGGGGCGCTCGTATGTCGAGGTACCACTGTACTTTCCTATTCCTCAAGTTTTGTCCATGAGTATATATGGCTAAATATCCTCACTACAAAGCCCTTCTTTTTTAAAAATTTAAATGTAAAATACAGAATAAGGAGTCGATCATATTTAGAGAAGAGGTAAAAATATAGCAAACAATAATAAAAATCGCTAATCCGTTCCTACATATTAAATCACATTAGGTTCAAAATTCATGATGATCGTCCCCTGCCGCTTTTATTTTATTTTCACTCAGATACATTCTAATTGCTTAATGACAGAAGATACAAAATTTTATTTTTTTATTTTTAGTGCATTTAAATAAAAGCTTTTTTAAAAAAATGTATTTTTACTTATTAATGTGTTTTTTTGACGGTTCTTTGAAGCTGTCTGCTATATTTGCATAATGACCCAGCGTTGTGTCCCAGAACTTTGATTTGGACGAGAGCTCCATCATCACACTCCCTGAAGAACCAATCACAGGCCCTGACCCGGAGAAGATTGGCAAGGCTCTGGTTGCTAGCATTCAGGTATGTCACTGACAACAAGCTTCTTCTTTCTTATCTCCACTCAATCATATCAGGGTATCAAGCTTGTTTGACAACCATCATGACTGGGTGAAGTAGAATGCATCTGCCTTTGTCATTAAGACTGGGAGCACTACTCAGTAGCAAGCCGACTTAGCTCCAAAAGAAATGGCCGCCTCTGACATGAGGAACAGACGCCATGTGCAGCCGCTCCTAACATGGAGTACAAATGCTTCTCATCCTGTATCCCTGGATTAGGAGGCCTTACAGGGTACTATCAGCTGGGCCATCTGAACCCAGTTTATTTAGTGAGCTAGTTACTGCTCCCCCTCCTCCTTTTTTATCCGAGCTTGGGACCAGCAAAGGCGGAGTTGCAAGAACTAATTAACATGGGAAGTCGGTGGAAGGATGGTGTAAACCGTTGGTGTTCGATCACTACAACCCAGGTTCGATTCCCGCATTGGACACTTTTTTCTGATAAAAAAAAAATTCTCCAATGTCCCCTGATTCTTGCAAAATCCAACCCCACCAACGAGTGCAAGTAACCAAACGGGGCTCTGGCATATTTTTAAGTGAAAAAGTCTAACTGCTTTTCACATGTGTAAACATGTGGTGCACTTACAGTAAAAATAGTCGCCAATTTCTATACACCATGATTATCATGGCCTGTACCACGTGTACTAGGGATAAGCAAAAAAAAAACTAATTAACATTTATAAAATACCAGAGTTGCAATGATGACTAGTCTGAAAAATAAGTTCTATGACTAGTCTTTTGATGGTATCGTAGGGTCTATCTATTCCTCCTCAACCAGCCATAGGTTGGTGGCTGGCAGTATTCCTGTCCTCTCAGAGCTTCCTTTCTATGGCTAGTCTTTTGATGGTATCGTAGGGTCTATCTATTTCTCCTCAACCAGCCATAGGTTGGTGGCTGGCAGTATTCCTGTCCTCTCAGAGCTTCCTTTCTATGGCTAGTCTTTTGATGGTATCGTAGGGTCTATCTATTTCTCCTCAACCAGCCATAGGTTGGTGGCTGGCAGTATTCCTGT